TCTCTCTCTCTCTCTCTCTCTCTCTCTCTCTCTCTCTCTCTCTCTCTGTGTGTGTGTGTGTGTGTGTGTGTGTGTAATAAGCAATAATAGCATGCTTTACATTGGCACAGGATCCTTCTTTCATAAGGATCCTATGAAATTGAAAAGTGTAATAGTTCAAAGTCACTCTTTGGTTGTTTGAAAACAGCTAACACTGGGGGAAAAAAAGCCTAAGGTTAATTCTAAGTTTAAGAATGTACGTTTTTGAAAATATCAGAAATAACGCTAAACACGAAGCATACCCTGGCTCCTTTCTTACTTTCAGTAGGTATAAGGTAAAATTGGCAGTTCTAACCCATCCTTACTCAGAAATAGATCTCAAAGTTCAAGGGTATTTCCTGCTGAGTAAATAAAGAGCATGGCCCATTTTGTGAACACCTTAGAAGTTTTTGTGAAATCAATAGAAAATGGCTCCAAGGATGCTTGAGGCTCTCCTGGAACACAACAATAAAAATGGGAAATTACTCACTCAGCACATTGGGAAGAGAGGCTGGTAAAAATTTGAATATATCTCTTTAACAGATAGGCTATAGCCAGGCTAGTCAAAGGGCAGTTTTTCATTAACAAGCAAAGTCGAGCAGACTACCCAGCGGGAGAGCTTCTGTGCTAAACCTTTCCTTCCAGGTCCTAGTTAAGGAATGAGTAGATCAACAGCACTCCAGCCATAACTCAGGAAAGGACACAGCAGGAGCCCACTGCAAAGAGGAGCTGCAGAGGATTTGGTAGGAAAACGACTCTTAACCTAGTTACTTAGTTAACCCATTTTTCTGAATAGGCTAAATACATTGAAACATAACCTATTCAAAATGGCCTGCACTTGTGTGTGCTATTCACCCAGCCTTTACTAACACTAACACTAATCCAGTTTAACAGGTTGTGCGAATCCCTCTGCTCATGCATTCCTGACCCGATTAAGCGAACTGCATGAACACACAATCTGTAAGAGTTCACAGGTGCAATGCAAGTAAGAGGTCACTAGTGTTGCAGAGATGTTGCACTGATTCTTGGGGAGAGTATTTGGCAAGCGGGTTTCCTGGTGGCTTGACTTTTGCCCTGGTCACTGTTCTGCTGTTCTAAACAACTGGCTCTTCCTATAGGAAGAAGGCATTTTGTAAAGCTCAATGGAGCAGAGAAGAGAAGGCCTTGTTTGTCAGTCACTTCCCAGCAGTAAGTAAAATGTTTGCATCCCTCTGCCCTGGGTTTTTCCACCTGTGCTTCTAAGGGCCTTTTCACATGTATCCAATTCAAAGGGGAATATGCACTGTTCAAATGATCTTCCATAAGCCAAAAACTGTAATCTAGACTTCTCTAGGAGGAAGTGGTGAACAATGATGGGAGGAACAAATTTAGTACTGTATCTGGGACAGGATTTTAAATCACTTGGTGACACTCCTCCCTTTCTTCCAATAGGGGCAAAATATTTGTTTTTTCTGATAGAGACAATTCACACATTTGATCTGGAAGCATGAGGGGGGAGGGAAGGAAGCACCTGTGTGAATTGCCTTTACCATAATTTCCAACAAGGCAATTAAGTCAATGCTGGATGTCATTTCTCTATTTTCAGTGGGAAATAAGGTCCTGATATTTCCTTACAACGTTTACCACCCAAAAAGGGGCATCCAGTTAAGTGCCAAGGACATTCATGACTGCATAAACCTGACCTCAAGTAACCAAGAGAGGAAAAGTAACGTGCCCTGCAAATATGTATAAATGCTCCCTAGGAGATTGTTTTTCTCAGGAAAGTACGAAGCCCAGAGACGTTCATTTACTCAACCCCCCCATCTTATTCAACCTACCCCACCCCCAACCGTGAGCTGTTACCTGTAATAATCCTCCTTGCAGTAAATGCTGCCGTCCTTGGCAAAGCAGGTGAGTTCTGACTCCAAAGCCAGTTTACATTCACAGCACTTCAGGCAGCGGAGGTGCCACTGCTTGTCCACAGCTAACAAGTAGTAGCGGTCGGAGATTTTTCCCCCGCATCCTGCGCACAGGGCAGGCTTCTCGGGGCTCAGTGGAGGCATGTTCTGCAGAGGGAAGCAAACGTCAGTGGGTCGGGCAAAATCTTACAAGCTTAACATCTAATTTGGTGTACTATTTCAGCTTTTTTTTTAAAAAAAATCAATAGCAGAGATATTTACTATCGAAATCAGAACGCATGTGGCCTTAGCTGAACGCGATTCTACACAAACTACTGGATTTCCATGTTCTGTGTAGTATTTTAGCTCAGCTTTGTTTCTGTGAAGCCCCAAAGAGACTAAGAATTATTTCCTTTGCTTCGATTTTACGGGCGTTAGCTTCATTCCATGTACCTGCGAGTAAGTCTTGTTGAAGTCTATTATAAGTAGTTTGGTATAGTTAGGTATAAGCCTTTTTTACTGCACAATAAATCCGGATCCCCTCCATCGGCTGGATTTATCCAACATTAAGCTCTCTGGCTTACCTAATGCACCACAATTTTGGGGGCTCATTCGTCTTTTCACCCTGCGTTGGCAGAACGGGGTGGCTGGTCCTCAGGAAACTAAGGACTGCCTAGAAGATGCAGTGGGTAAAGTCAATATTTCTGGCTTAGGTTGGCTTCCGAGAAAGAACTTTTACTGGAAGAAACTGATGGATTTCTCCCAAGCCTAAAGCAGCCTCTGCCTCAAGCAAGAACTGGCAACCTCCCGCTTGCTCTTTCACTTGTCTTTCGCTCCGCACATTGTATAAAGCCGCTTTTGCTAGAAGCCGACATTTTGACACGGAAGATACTGGTTGCTGGAGGGGTGGTAGTGGTCTGAATCCTAGAGCTGAGTTTCAATTGTAGGATTTACATTCTGCGCAAAGAAGATACAACCCTCGGTTCCTTCATCCCGGAGCAAAATCCCTTTTCCGGCCTTCCTGCGGCCAAGGGATGCGCCCGAGGTCAGAAAATATAGTGAGGGCGAGCTCCGTTGCTTTGCTTCCTGGAAGCGCAAAAGGCTGATTCCTCTTCAAAATGCGCTTTGGGGATTCGTATCCGAGACAGATTGGGATATGAGGTTGAAGCAGTGTGCTAGGGATAGGCTCTACTGTCCGAGCCATTCACTTTCATATTCCTGACTTGGACTCAATTCCAGAACACATTTTGAAAAAAGTGTCAGAGTACTGAGGATAAGGAAAATAAGAAAGAAGCATCCTTTCATCTTTTTCTCCCTTCACGGCGTTGTTTACTTAAGGGGAAAGTGTGGGGGAAAGGAATATAAAACATACAAAGTCCTTACTGCCTGGATTTTGATAATGTCCACTAGGAAAGTCAACGGGTAGAAAGACAGTTCAAGCTCCTGGCCTGTTAAAACAGACTGTAAGTTTGTTATATGGAGTTGGGAACTAATCACTGTTTTCAAAAATATCTTTTCCATATTATCTTTGAATTTAAGAGAGGAAAAAGGAATATTTAGGCCACTTGGGAAACAACTAAGAATTTCCCACAGATTAAAAATATAAACGGTTGAACCTACCAAGTACAAGGAATAGTGGCAGAACCACAAACAAAACAATGGTTTTGGTTCCCCCTACCCCTTTTCTTCTTTATTATTTGGGTTTTTCTCCCCCCCCCCCCCCCCCAAATAAAGAAACTGAAATGATAACGAAACTGTTGCCTTAATAAATTTGGTCTCTGCTGTGCTTGGAGGAGAGTCCAATTCAAAGTATTATAACTTTTGGTAGACCCTTACTTGTATTCTTCATGAATGCACTGGAGATCTTGGGATTTCGAAGCAAAGGAAATAAATGTCCTTGTTTACCTGTCTCTCTCTCTCTCACACACACACACACACACATCCCTTTTCTTTGCAGCTGGGGTTCCTCGACTTAAGAGTTTTGGAATCTAATAAGAAACTGTTCCGCTTTTTCTGCTTAACGCTCAGAACTACTCCCATTATTAGGTATTTTAAAAGAGAAAAATAAATCTGAGAGTGGGGTAGGAAGGAGATTGTCTACTGAGCCCTGATTGTTCCATTTTGTCAATTTGGCTGGGCCTCAGTGCTACTTTTTACAAGTTGTAGCCTTTAGAACGAACTAGAGAAGTGAAGCGAGGATAAAAGTTTGTTTCTTTCCAATACAAGAAGTTAGAATGAATCTCCAGCAGCACTCGAACACTATCACTACAATTAATCTGTTTGAAAGCCACCAAATGCATAATTATCCCCTCCTGCACTTATTTTTACAAATGATTTGGAATATAAAAGACATCGGAGTCGTTCCAAAAGGTATTGAACTTACTTAGGAGTAATTTTGTTAGCCCTCAAATCTTCTAAACAATTTCGTTCTGGAGCCTGTTGGGTTTAGGCTCTCTTGCCCCTTGAAAGCCTTTTCTTTTTAGAGGCACTCATTAAAAGCCTTTCTTCCAAACTTAACTCAGAAAATAAATGACATTGAGCCTCGCGAGGTTATTTCTCATTTCATGAAACTGCCTTGAAAACGAGTTTCAAGTGCCTTGTTTTCAAGATGGCAAGTCGCAGCTCATATCCTCCTCGACTAGGCAAACTTTCCTGAACTTGCTTCCCAATCTTGATAGGGGCCGGGCTTGTGAAAGTACCGAAACTTGATATTCAAACAATTGGGTAAGAATCCAAACATCTTAAAAACACTTTTTCAAGATGAAAGTTAGCTAGGGAAAACTAGACGGGCGATCGGGGGTGGGCAAATCGACTTTAATCAGTTTCATTCGGGAGCAACGCCTCCCTTTCCCTGGAGAATGCTTTTTGGAGATGCTGCGCCAGGTCCTGCTCACCCGCCTGAGCACGCACAAACAAAACACCCACACTTTTACAAAGTAGATTGGGACTTGAAAACCTGACCTTAAAAACTTAGCAGAATTTACTCCTGAATAAAATATTTTTTATGATCGCGCCGTAATGCTTATCTCTGAGCTTGTTTGTTGTGTTTCTTTTTAAATAACCCAAATGTAGAGGGGAAAAAAATGTGATTTTAAAGTAGGGGGAAACTGGTTAACATCTTTTTTAAAAATGGAAACTACTCTTTTGAAAAAGATATCTGGAAGTGAGACTTGAAGAACGTCTCGCTGGGCGTTCTCAGATACGCGCGCACGCGCCCACAAGACATTCCAGTGTCCCTGGGAGGTTCCGGTTACCTTACTTCTAGGATTGGGGGGTTGTCTTTCTCTCTCTCATACACACAAAATCCACCCTTCCTTCATCTCTTCTGTGAAAACTCGCGACTTTTTCGCCACTTCTTACCGCTTCCCGGCCATTCATCTGTCCCGCTTTAGCCAGGCGGGATTCGGTCTTGGTCCGCCTCTCCATCTCCTCCATGATCCCCTGGATGTGGCCTCCGGAGATGCCGTGGAAAAGCATGGCTGGGGAACGGAAGGGACACGCGTTTCCTTCGGCTCGGCACCCCACTATTTCCATATACAGGCCCCAGAGTCTTGGTTTAGAGCATCCGAATCGCCGGGCGACGGGACGAGCCCGCAGGAGAAGCTTCGTGGCTCCGGAGAGAAGGCAGGTAGCAGCCGAAGACTGGGGGGAGGCTGCCGAGCGGCGGCTGGCGTGAATGATACTGGGGGGTCTTTCCCAGCCTGGCCGGCGCAAAAGACTGGGCTCCTTCCTGAAGAAAGGGCAGGCAAGGAACGGGACGGACCCAAAGGGGAGGGGAAGAAGGGGAAACGGGGAGGAGGGGGAGAGAAAAAGAACGCAGACACGAAGTTGAGGCTTAGGCAAACAGAGACAACAACAACAACAACAACGAAAAATGGATCACGAAAAAAAGGGGGAGGATGGGGGGAAAGGTTACAAGACAAAGAAAAACCAAACAAGATAGGGAAATGGAGGGGGGACAGGTTAAAGCAGAGATCTCCGTTTGCTAGAAAGTTCCTGTTGCTCTCGCTTGGATGTGGGACTGCTGTTTGCTGGAGCTCTGTCCAATTTGTTGGAGACAGAAGCCAACCCAGTTTGGATAATTCAGGAGGAGGAGTCCTCACCCAAGAGCTGCCACCAGCTCCTCCTCCTCCTCCTGCTCTACAGACAACAAAGAGCTGTCAAACTTCGCCAGCCCCCACTGTGATGGGCAAGCAGTGACAAAATATTCCGGAGGAGTGGGTGGGAGAGGGTTTAGACCCCTTCTTTCTATCAACGGTAGGGAGGGGATAAGAGGCACCTCCCGGGGATCTTTCAGATAAGTGGATGGGGAGGGGTCTAGACTCTACTCCTGTGCCCCCATCCTCCCATTCTTCAGCTTCTCCCCCAACCCCCTGGCATACGGAGCTCAAATTCAAATAATTTTTTACAATGAAAAAGGGTGGGGGAAAGAAATAGGCAAGGCAAATCTTTGAATGGAACTTGGTTGGAAAGCTGTCCCTGGTGGAAGGGAGAAAGTTTAGTGGAAGGGGTGGACAGATGGACAGACATGAAGAGGTCAGGAAAAATTTAAAGAGACTGACTTTTTCAGTGGCTATAAGATACATAAGTAACGCCTTACATGCCAGCAGAAGATTTAAATATAGGCACAGGTTTTAATTCTACACTTGCTGAAGGAACTCAGTTAAGTTTACTTTTCAGAGAAAGTGAATGCTGTTTCATATTAATATTTTATTTTAAAGCATCAGCTCTTTTTCTACTTCTAATGTCCCTGTAGAGCTTTATGGTAAAGAATTCCTGCTAAGAAACAAGAATCAGGGAAATCACCCCTTGGCACCAATTCCTGTCATTTTGGTAGAACCCTTTGCAGGTGGACTAAGGTGGCCTTTCTCTTTTCTTCTAGGGAGAAATGTTCTCTAAAATCTCACGGTTTAATTGATTTCACCCAGCTCCAAAAAGAACCCAGCAAAGCGATACAATATTTGAAGATGCTAGGAGGATGGGAGAGGGAACTAATTGAAGGAAGTTAACTGAGAGCTAAGAAAGATAGGGACTTAGTGCTGTATCTTTTGGCAAAAGTTTGAAGAATATCAAGTTTGGGATGTCCACAAAGATGAGAGATTTAGTAGGAAGTGCTTTGCACGTGATCTCTTGAGATTGAGATGGGCTTGCTCATTGGATGAGCTGAGTGAATGATTCTGATGCTAAATTTGAGAATCACAAAGAGTTGATCTTCAGGCAGGCTTAGCGAAGGAAAAAAATAAGAGATTCTCTGCCCCTTCTGTTTTTTTCCTTTTCCTTTGAAGTTTGGGCCAACCCACCATCCTTTTGGATGGAATCCAGATTTTGGAAATCAGCGTCCTAGGAAACCACATGATTGGCTGCCTGCAATTTTTTTTTCATGGCTATTTTCTCTGCTCAGGGACAGGAAGTGGAACTTTTCTTTTATTGCTTTAAAAAAACATTACTTTTGACTTAGGGGTGAAGGAAAATAAACTCCTTTATGTACCTGTCCATCACACATCCAAATTCAAGAGCAACAGAGAGTCAGGGAAAGTGTTCTTTGACTCTGAATAAGTCTCTCTTTCTTCATCGAAGGAGAACCTGAAAGAACTACAGAGCAGTTCCATGGGACAGAGAAATCCAAACAAGTGAAATAAAGTGCGCACTACTTGTGCCACTTCCTTTTTCTTTCTTTTTATTGGAACTTGAATTCCAGGACAGCAGGACTGTATGCTGATGTTAAGTCAGATTAGTCTGAGAAGTTGAAAAAGCATCCCAGAGGGAAACAATAGCAAATAACTTCCTTATTGTTCCTTTAAAAACTATATGGACATGTTCATGAAGTCACCCAAAATCTCAAAGAAAACTTGAGTTGACTTCCTGCAATCAAGAGATAAATGTTGAGTTGGGAAAAAAAAGAATCCCAAACAAGTATTCTAAGAAGTACTGTGGGGGAAAAAATTTAAGAATACAGATCTGATCCTTTGTCCACCCTCGACTACATCAATATCCCCCCCAAAATGAATGGTCAAGAAGGAGTCAGCTGTAAGAATGAAATGATGAAAGGGACATGACTCTACTCTTCTTCAACCCCAAAATAGAATTTCCATTGATTTGAATAGAGCAAAAATCACCGTCCAGCAGAGCACCACTGCAGGAAAGTTGGGTTACTGGGCTTAATTATCTTAACTCCCACTCCCCAATTAAATGTCAGAGGTTATATTTGTAGGGCTTGCTTACCCCTAGTTAGCTTTACCATGGGTGACTGAATTAATTCAATGTTCAGGCTTCTCTGTGTACTCTGAATCATAAACAGGCTGGACTAAAAATGTGCTTGGCTTGCATGAAATTACTTAATTGTTTTCAACATGCAACAACCCAGGGCTGCTCTAGTTTGGCCCCTTCCTGTTCATTTTGCTCAGCGGGATTCTGGACTTCTGCCCCAAAGTCCTATCCTGACAGGTCTACACAGTAATGGACTCTAATTGTATCCAAATAAATGTGCTTACTAAAGCGATCTTACCTTGTGCACTTGGGCATACCTGCTCAGAAATGAGTTGAGTTTAATTTTAGTGCATGCTAATTATTAAGTCCAATGTGCTTGATGAGAATTAATGGGGTTCAATATAAATATGGTGAATGTGCTAGTAGGAACAATCTTATCTTATTAGAGTGCAATTTGTTCTTGACTGCTCAGGAGTAAGCCCAAACTTATTTTTATGACTGCCATCCTCAGATAATTGGGTGAAGTAATCTACAATTACGTATGCCCAATTCTGTACATGCAAGTAAGTGTTAGTGCATTAAATCAGCTTATTTTTGAGTGGTCTTGAATCAGAGTTAGGGCAACACCTTGTAGCTAAGACTCAATAGAATAAAGGGCAGGGGCTGGGAAAGAGAAATTGGCAGCCTTATGTCACCTCCTGCCCTCTAGTTTTTCTGAACTACTGGTCAATGGGTCACTGACTACTGGACCAGTGGTGATGGAATAGTAGATCAAGCCAGCTGGAAGACTCCAGGCTGGGAAAGCCAGGTTAGAGTTTGGACATAACATAAAGATCTTATGCAAAAATAGTTAAAGACATTTTTTTTAGCTGAAGTGGAAAGCTAGGCCAAACTACATCTTTTATTTCTATTATTTAGACACCCCACCCCCCCACCCCCGTGGTTGCATAAGAATAAAAAGTAAAATCAAACTTATAGTATTGAAGGGAATTTGTTTTGAAGTGGAATTAATGGTTCAGTCAGTTTACTAATTTTGTCCACCAAAAGATTCTTTTCTATCAGTATTAATTGTATGGTACGTACAAGGGTTGTCCTGGTTGATCACTGTTGGAAACCAGATTCTTAACTGGATCTGTGCTACATAGGTTTTTTTTTCCATGAGCAATGCTCCTCTACCCACCTGAACATGAAGAGAAAGTAGCCCAGGGAACACAAACCCAATACTTATTTTTATGCTTAAATCTTACTTGTAAAAGTAAGAAGAAAGCAGCCCCATTCCTGAACTTCTACTGAAACTAGTCATCCTAGTTGAATATTGGGTCCTGAGTAGCAAATGTGCTGATGTGAATGAAGAGCAGCCAGAAACCTGGGCTAAACTAATTGTCTGCCCTTGTGTTAATCAATTCTCAGCTAATCTTTTTTCTATCTTTTTTCCCCCTGCCCTTTCCCTTGGGAAGATTTAGCCCAATGGGAACCTGTCTTTAAGGGAATCCATCGTTTCCAGCTCCTGCAGTCTCTGCCTGCAAATAATCAGGAAAGGGGATGGCCTGAAAGACCTCAACATCCACAAGAAGGAATGTGCAGGATCAGAGGAAAGGCCTCACTAGCTGTTCATACAAAGGCCAAAAGGCCCCACACTGAGAGCATTAGTGGTCAGAGTCTGTTCACCTTTGGTATAGCCAATTAAATGCCCGGTAATGGAAGGTGGTTCCCTATCAATAGTTGTCAGTTATCCAAACTTGGCGGTGTCATCAGGGCAAGACCATAGGACAAAACTGTGAGTCCCGCCCCCTTTCCAGGGAAAGCTGTAGGAGGGTCCCTAATGAAACAGACTGGGAGAAATAGGAGATAATAAAGGGCATTCATTGTAGTTTTGCTTGCACAAGATGCTTACCTGATTAAGCATGTTGTGCAAGCAAAAAACATATGTGGTACAACATGCTTACTTGATTTAATGATAAAGGGTTATCCAGCTGTACAATTAGCTGTAATGGCTATATTGAACTATGCACAGAGCAAGAGGGCTTAGTTCATCCAACATACTAAGCCCTAACAAAGTATGACTCAGGCAAGAGTAGCAACTGAGTCTTTGACTAGACTGACTAAGCATCTTATGTGACTGTGGACCACATCCCTGAAATCTAATGGACTAAGCTACATCATTCCTTCTCTAGATGCCTTGTGTGCCTCTCCTCCCCCCCCCCCCCCCGCGTCCCCACCAAGAACAAAATAGGAACACAGGACATATCTTTCTTGTTCCCTCTTTGCTTCTCTTTTCCCGTCCCCACCCCTCGCCCATGAAAAAGAAGAAATATGTTAAAGTAAAC